TGGCGATGGCCTCCAGGGTTAGCAGTGATGTTTTGGGTGGTGTTAATGACCCTCTGTGCAGCCTTGCTGTTCTCAGTCGAGGCCCCTGAGGACCACCACCAGGCAGGAGGAGAGCACGGTCTCCACTGAGGAGGGGAGAAGGTCAGCAGCAGCTCCTGGTCCAGGTTCTTCTTCCTCAGGACACGGAGGAGGGGCAGCTGCTGCTGGGCCTTCTTTACCAGGGTGATGGTGGTGTGGGTCCAGGTGAGATCAGCAGAGATGTGGGTGCGTAGAAACCTGAAGGTGGAGACAGATTCAACCTATTCTTCAGTTATAGTGAGAGGGGAGTGGAGCTGTCTGTGCCTCCTGAAGTCCATTATCAGATGTTCAGATTACTGTCTGAGCTCCGGTGGGACATGTTCTCTACCTCCACCCTGTACGCATCTCCATCACACATGGGCCCAACCACGGTGGTGTCATCCTTATACTGGACGGAGACGGTGGGTGACAGCTGCAGGCGACAGGAAGACTTTTATTCTGAAGGACGTGGTTACCGGAAGTAGTAGTCTGTTGCCGTTACCGGAGCGTGTCTGTGTCCTCCGGTGAAATAACCGGTAAACTGTATTATAAACAGCGTAGAAAGTGTGCGCGCGACATTAAACGGGTGAGAGCGGCTCCGCAGCAGCCGTGTGGCGGGAAACGGACGCTGTTACAGGTGTGCAGCGGCGCTTCTGTCACAGTCACGGAAGTTGTCGGCTAACGTTGCTAGCTGCTGCGATTAGCTGGGCTGACAGGATTAGCTCCCGGGGCTGAGGACACCGGCGGGGGGCTCGATGGCAGCGAGGAGGAGCCAGCCCGGGGAGCCGTGAAGGTGAGCCTTGTCACCCGGCCTACCTGCTCACAGCCGCACGTCTGCCACGTCAGAGGACTGCGTCACCTGTACAGGTGAACAGGGACGTGTTCAGAGCGCAGACACGAGTAACCGAACTTTTTACTAATGTTTCTGTGCTGTGGGTGAAAAAATCAAAGTGCAGTGAGAACATTTACATGTTCAAATACGAAGCCTGACCTGTGCTGGTTAAACATGGTGAATATTCAGTTTTCAGTAAACTGCAGCGCAGGTGTGATCCAGGCCAGCTGGTGAATGATCCCCATAATCTCGCGGGGCGAGGACGCGCCAAACTCCGTTTAAAACTGCTAAGATTTGAACGTGCAGCTCCGCAGAGGCTCATGTGTGTTTTAGGTGTCAGCGAACAAACAGCAGAAACCACAGATAGCTCTTAAATCGGTGACGTCACCACAGCGGGAAAATCCTCAGTTAGGATTGAAGCTCCTGGTGTGTTTACCTGTTTATGGCTCCACCCCCCCAGGATGCTCCAGGGGCCGTACAGCAGCCTGGACCGGGACCGGCTCCTCATCCGGCTGCCGTTCAAAAGCTTTGCCGTGGGGACGGTTCTGCTGCCGGTGACCGGCTTCATCGCCTGCATCTTCATCTCCCTCTTGTACCACTATGAGGACGCCACGTACACGCACTGTAAGGTGAGTGCTGATGGCGAAGGACACGTCAGCAGGAAGCTGCTGATTTATTGAAACCACAGCTGACGAGTCAAAATGTGCATGTCAGGCTTTTCAGACTCGCGCTGAGCGTCCGGGTAAAGCATTACCTGGTGGCGGTGCGGTGATGACGCTCCCACGCCACACCTCAGCCTCGGGTGTCATCAGGACCCGCCCACCTGATTCACCTGAAGTCATTTTTCTTCCAGGTGTCCAACTACCTCCCGTCCATCAGCTCCGCCATCGACGGTGTGCCGGAGCGCTACATCTGGCGCGGCTGCATCGGGCTCCACTCGGCGCCGCGGTACCTGGTGGCCTTCGCCTACTTCAGCTTCTACCGCAGCCGCTTCGCCAACAGGCTGCGGGAGCTGCTGCTGAGCGGGCTGGCGCTCCTCTGCAGCCTCGCCGAGAACACCGGCCTGGTGATACTCACGTACGTGTCGTCCACGGAAACCTACAGTGAGTACGGCGCGGTCGGCTGACCCAGGTCCTCCAATCAGGAGTTAGCCCTTCAGACGTGCTGACGGCCGTTTGTCTCCACAGGTGTTCATAAGTTCGGGTTCATCACGTTCATAGGGAGCTCGCTGGTGCACATGCTCATTACGTGCTGGCTGTGGTACGTCATCAAGAGGCACTACGTGAGCCCAGAGGTAAGCCGAGCTGTCGGCGTGCTGTGCGACCACGAACTTCAGTCGTTTGTCTCGTTTAGTCGTAACAGAGCTTTAGTCAGCGTGGCTGATGTTCTTCACCAGCTGTTTGGGAGAAACTTGATAAATTAGCTTAAAATGTCCTTCAAAGCTTCCTGTAGACAAACGGCTCGATCAGTCGGTCGCGGTGAGTTCAGGATGTTGCAAAGCTCTGTGAGAGGATCAGTCTGTTTATGGAGGTTTTGTTCTTTGAAGAGTTCTTGTGGTACTTGAAGGCATCATGAGGTTCCCATCGTGCTGCGAGCGTCCTCGTCCACGTCTGTGGAGGATTTCAGATGCTGACGGTGGTTCATGTTGTTCCTGTTGGGGTTCAGGTGACGCTGGGGCAGGTTTGGTTCTTCTAGGCATGATTGAGGGACTCAAACACTTCTGAGTCCTTGAGGAGGACTTTGGATTACCAGTAGGTCCTACTGGTACTTTGTCATTATGGTGGTTAAGTGAATTTCTGAGGAGGATCACATGATTCTGGTGGACGTGTTGAGGACGAAGCATCAGGTAGTCGCTTCTGTCTCTGTGTGAGGTGGTCAGGTGGTTCAGGAGGTGGTTTTGGTGCTGCTGGTGAGGCTCCACGTGTACCTCAGAGACTGTGAGAACGTGATGTAGCTCTAGAAATACTAACACATCCCAGCTGTGGGTGTGGAGCTCCGTCAGGAGTGTTTGCTCCTCCGTTCTGAGGTTCTGTGCAGGTTTGGAGGCCTTCTTTGTTCCAGGAGTCCTAGAAGAAGATCTGGGGTTGGTCCTGTCAGCACCTGAGGCAGTTCTAGTCCTGGAGCCCGACTTTAGTGAACCTGCTGAGATGTGCTTGTTATGGTCTGCAGAACCTTCTAGCATTTCTTCTGTTTTGGTCGCCCGTGTTGGTGCTCAGGGAGAGTTTGGGGATACTTGGTGGGTTCCTTCGGTTCTCGCGGTGGTTCTGTGGTTCCTCGTGAGCTTCAGGGCTCTGCAGGAACGTTTCACTGGTCACATGGAGCAGTTTGCCTCTTTCTTTCATTTCTTTGGTAGTTTTCCATAAATCTGATGTTGATTTTGCTCTCTGTCCGTCTCAGGAAGTGACATCATATCGCTGGAAGCTGCGTCTCTTCCTGTTCAACATCAGCTGCTGTGTGATCGCCGCCTACTTCTTCAGACGCCACAACAAATACTGTGAAGCAGGAAGTAAGTGCCGCTCTGTGCTGTCTGTGCTCCGTGTCTCACGCCGCCTCCGTGTCTCACGCCGTCTCCGTGTCTCACGCCGTCTCCGTGTCTCCTCCAGTCTACTCCCTGTTCGCCGCCTTCGAGTACCTGGTGGTCTTCTCCAACATGGCCTTCCACATGACGGCCTTCTGGGACTTCGGGAGCAAAGAGGTGACCGTGGCCACGCCGCCGGAGGACAAACGATACTGAGCAGGAGGGGGCGGGGCGTTTCTACCATTTCTGAACTCGAGAGCAGAGAGAGGAGTCTGATGACATCATTCCAACGACACCCTGACCTTCGGAGCGGGACGGCGTGATGGAGACGTGGACCAGAGTTCTTCTTCTTCTGTTGTTTCTCTAGTGGGCCTGTGTCTTTAAATTGTCAGAAATGATGCGTACTGATGATGTCACTGATGGATCAGCCCGCTGTGATGATGTCACACTTGTTTACAGAAACAGCTGATCAGGGTTTTAATGGTTTTATTTCCACACAGATAAAAACCATCACAGGCGCCTCAGAGACAAAATAAATGTGACGATGATGATTTCATGGTGGTGTTCTTCATTCTCACCGTCACCTGACGTGTTTCGTTTATAAAAACAAGAAAAGCTTTTCCAAAGTGCACGATGAATAAACGCTGAAGGAGAAAGTGTTGAAATGTAAAGACATAAAAATGAACCTTTGAGTAAAGAACAAAATGTTTTGACAGAAATCAGAGAGGCTGAGACGGTCTGAGCATGTGCAGAGGATGGAGGCGGAGCTGCCGGGTGGGGGGAGGTCCTCAGAGGAGGTTCATGGCTGCAGTGTTTGTAGCAGCACGTTACTGACAGCACACAGGAAATCGTTTCAGTTACACAGGACGTGAAAGCTGCGCGTCGGTTGGAGGCTAACAGACTTACATTAATGTTCGCTAACAGTGACAGAATCACTGAGAGGAAAATACTGAAACAATCACACTGACCTGTGTTTCTGTGTCATGACCAAAGTGCTTCCTGATGAGTCCAGGGTCCTGTGACTGTGACCCCTGAAGGACAGAGGTCATAGTGCCATGTCACATGGTTATAACACATCCTCTCATAAATGAACACAGTGGACGACTCACCGCTGCAGCTCTACAGTGATCCTCTCACACTGATGTTTAGTTTCACTGTCCTTTTCCTCTGAGGTATCGATTCTGTCACTAGTTAGCCTGAGTCTGTTAGCCACAACCAACCAATCACATGTTCACGTTTGCACTGACAGATGGAACTATGAACATGTTTCAAAGCTGTTTGCACTGATTTGTTAAACAGTGAGGGACATTATCCTTTGTGTTCAGCGTTTCATGTCCCCTTTAATATAGTAGATGTTTATTTAACCATAGAGGTAATAATATCTGTAATTCAATTCAATTTGATTTACACAGCGCCAATCACAACAACAGTCGCCTCAAGGTGCTTTATATTGCACAGTAGATCCTACAATAATACACACAGAGAAAAACCCAACAATCATATGACCCCCTATGAGCAGCACTTTGGCGACAGTGGGAAGGAAAAACTCCCTTTTAACAGGAAGAAACCTCCAGCAGAACCAGGCTCAGGGAGGGGCGGGGCCATCTGCTGTGATTGGTTGGGGTGAGAGAAGGAAGACAGGATAAAGACATGCTGTGGAAGAGAGACAGAGATTAATAACAGATATGATTCAATGCAGAGAGGTCTGTTAATACATAAGCGATCGTGGCTCAAGAGTTGGGAGTTCGTCTTGTAATCGGAAGGTTGCCGGTTCAAGCCCTTGGACAGTCTCGGTCGTTGTGTCCTTGGGCGAGACACTTCACCCGTTGCCTACTGGTGGTGGTCAGAGGGCGATATGCTTCTGTCAGTCAGGGCAGCTGTGGCTACAACTGTAGCTGCCTCCACCAGTGTGTGAATGCGAGAGTGAATTAATAGTGGAATTGTAAAGCACTTTGAGGGCCCCAAAAAAGCGCTATATAAATGCAATCCATTATTATTATTATAAGCTGTGTCCCAAAACGTAGGCCGCGTCCTCCTGAGGATGAGGCTTCAGATGCTGTTGCTGCCTCTGCCTGGAGTCAGACAGGAAGCTTATCATAACAATAATCAGTAGGCGAACCTCCCTGCCAGTGCAATAGAGCTCTTGAATTTGCTGCCCAGTAATAATGTCTAAACACAGGGAGACCCAACCCCCCCACTGGAAGTATTTTTTTGAAGATGAGCCTTGGATATCCGAGGGTTTTCCTGCACAAATGAAAGAAAGAATCAATGAATCAAGCTGCTTAAAACATTTAAGTGGCAAATAAATAGGAAGGTTTTGAAAAAAATATAAAAATCGTGGCAAAGACACCAACTGCATTTATTCGACCAATCAGAGACAGAGGACGCAGTTTCCATTTTCTGACATCATCTTTGAGCTTGTCCAGCATTTCCAAGAAATTCAATTTATAGAGGAGTTTGGGATTTTTAGAGATCTTAAGGCCAAGATATGTAAAAGATGTAGTCACTAACTTGAATGGGAGTCAGCTGAGGAACTGTGGGCATAGATTATCTGTTATTGGCATAAATTCAGATTCCCAAAGTGTTTAATGCAATTTCAAAGATTAGGGAATGAAATTTCTGATTCGGAAAAGCAGATCAATAAATCATCTGCATACATATTAACAAGACTTTCAACATTCCCACATTTAATTGGGTGGTTTCTTATGTTAATGGCAAGGGGCTCCAGAGCTGTATCAAAAAGAAGCGGTGAGAGGGGATCCCCCTGTCTCACTCCACGTTGTAGTTGAACGGGGGAGGATTTATCTGCGTTAGTGAGAATGCAGGACACAGATAAATCATTTTAACCCAATCCCTAAAATATTCCCCAAAACCAAATTGTTTTAGAGTCTCAAATATATAAGACCATTCAATCAGAGAAAGTACTGCTGTTTTAGCCTCTTTTCCATAACCTGAGTAAATTGCATTTAATAATAAACGGACATTATTAAATGACCATCTACCAGGAATAAATCCTGTTTGATTAGGATGTATAATTGTTGAAACATGTTTGCTCAATCTTGTAGCTAAGGCTTTGGTTATGATTTTGTGATCATAATTTAAAAGAGCAACGGGTCTATAATTTGCTGGGTGGCCTTCCTGGCCCAAGGCCACTGGGCACACGGCCTTCGACACCTCCCTCCACAGAGTGTCCAATTCAATCAGAAAAAGCTAGGCTTAACTCCGTGCCCAAACGAACTGTTAAATAGGAAAAAAATCAATATACCGTCTCTCAGGACATTAAAGAATCTTTTACAGAAGAAGCTTAACTCATGCAGCTCAAACTATTCAGCTCAGAGTTTATAAACACGGACACCTCACCCAGAGTAGAAAAGACCTTCAGGTGTCCGTTATATTTCACAAGAAGTTTAGCTGGATACCGAAGTTCCATTTTTTTCTCCCGCAATATCTTGAACACCTCGCTGAACTCACGTCGTTGCTGCCTCACTTCCGGAAAGATGAGCACCTTATGGCCCTGGTATTCCAACGCTCGGTCTCTTTGCAGCCGTAGAATGAGTTCTTTATCCCGATAAAAGTGGATTCGTGCGATAATTGGTCTTGGTGCTGCGCCTGCCGCCGGTGGAGATCTCGGTGAGCGGTGTGCTCGGTCGACAATAACCGGGGATTTAAGATGATCCTCCCCGAGGAGTTTAGGGATCAAATCTTGAGTAAATTCAGCCGGTCTGGGTCCCTCTGCTTTCTCAGGGATGCCAATGATCATAATGTTGTTTCGGCGTCATCGACCCTCCAAGTCATCCACTTTTAATGTCAGTGCTTTATTCCTGCTCTCCAAGTTGGAGACCACTTTCTCCAAGCGGGACAGGCGATTTTCCTGATCTAGAGCCTGCTCTTCCATAGATTTCCCTTTCTCCAGCAGTTCTCTTTGGGATTTCTGTACTGCATGAAGAGTATGTTCCAAATTGTCAAACCTTTTGTTTATATGACGGAGAATTTTGTTGGAGATCTTCTCCCACAATCGCCAATGCGAACAGTAGGGTTCAGCGTTGGCCGAAGTCATAATTCGTGATGAAGAGTTAATCTGTTTACCAGGTTTTCTGGACATCTTTTGTTGTATACGGTATAAGCTTCAATTGTTGGCTTTTTTTGCGAAGAGAAAAATGAATTAGGAGAGCGTAAAAATACGTTTGGCACGGAGCGTCAGGGAACGCGTCTATTCCATGTGCTGCTCCGGAAGTCGGCCAGACTTACTGTACTTATAAACTACGAACATCACACGAATATAGTGACGTGAAAATAAACACATGATCACATTTTGTGTAAATCAGAGTTTCTTTGAAATCAGCTGTACAGGAGTGTCTGCTGTGTTGAACGGGAAACAGGAAGTGTTGAGCTGAAATATGATCAGGATGATTCTGGGCTCAAGTGCGTCGCAGGTTCATGCTCTGACAGCTCTGACAGACTAGCATCCAGAGCAGATGATCTGAAGCGTGTGCTGTGGCTGCAGCTGACCCCTGACCCCAGCGACAGGGGTGATTACATAACAGTTTCATGTTGTGAGACGATAAACGGGCTTCTTCATAAACATCATGTTCAGTTTTTCAGTTTCTTTTCTCCTGAATAGAAACAGAAACATTTCTGTTTAACTGACGCCCCTTCAGCAGGAGCCAACGTGTCTCAAACGTCTGCAGAGTACCTGGGAATGAGTCACTACCTCATATATCCTCCTAAATATGGGCGGAGCATGAACACACCTGGGAATCTTCAGCATTCACTTGGCGAGTTGACTGAAGTCGTACTGAGCAGAGTGTAGCAGGGCTCACTGGGAGATCGGCTGGTTTGTTTTGTATTACAGATCTTTTATTATTTTACATCATCCTGCACCGTGGACATGGAGGCTCAGAGAAAGAACAATGGATCGAATGCGATTTTTATTCACAAACATCATTTATCTTTGCATGATTTGAAAATGCACAATCAGCATCTGAGGAACATCTATCTTCTAAAAACAAACATCCCTGAATACCCTCAACCCGAGTTTCACGTGTCCAATCTGAAACATGACACGCAGCAAGGAGGGTTACTGAGGATCTGGAAGGACGAAGGCTTCAAGGATCCTCACGGAGGCCTGAAGGATGCAGACGGCCTGTCCCTGGTGTGGTGGAGTCTGGCTGTGGGCCCCCAGGAGATCCAGTCAGCTGAGACCAGGCTCCTCGACAAGGTCTACCCAAACCGGATGGAGAAGCAGGCTGAAAAGAAGCCGAGCTACCTGGACGAGATCTACCCAGACCGGAACAAGCAGGAGAGCTTCCTCTGGAAGTTTGCCACCTCTCCGGCCTTCAGTGAGAAGTCCAGTTTTGGATCGTACCGCTTCACCTTCCCCCTGCACGAAGTGGTGACCGCCTACAGCCAGCAGGTACTGGTGGTGGGGGGGTTAAATCAATGTGTAGCTCACTGATTGATTCTGCATGTTAGGAAAACATAATTTCATTAGTACTTTTATTTTTAAAACACTGGTGAGTTTATCCATCAGCTCAGACTGAAAGAGACACGATGGCCTGAATTAAGACCTTAAACTCCTCTAGGCTTTAAGGTCTAACAGCCTCAGAGTCTTAAAAACCTTGAAAGTCATGTGACCAGGAGTAATCTGCCAACCAGCTCCAGTGTGTTTGTGCAATTCAATTCATTTTTATTTATATAGTGCCGAGTCACAACAACAGTCACCTCATTGTAAGGTGGACCGTACACTAATACAGAGAAAGACATGCTGTGGAACAGAAGCAGAGACGATGAATAATTCATGATTAAATACAGAAAGGTGAAGCAGGGGTGGATCGAGAGGGGTGCCACCCTAAAATGTTCTCCTGCCACCTTAGTTTTGTATATTACACTGTTGTTTATTAAGTAGTTAGTGTGTAGTTAGGGTGTGGTTAGTGTGTAGTTAGTGTGTAGTTAGGGTGTGGTTAGTGTGTAGTTAGGGTGTAGTTAGGGTGTAGTTAGCGTGTAGTTAGCGTGTTGTTAGTGTGTTGTTAGTGTGTGGTTAGGGTGTAGTTAGCGTGTAGTTAGCGTGTAGTTAGTGTGTAGTTAGCGTGTAGTTAGGGTGTAGTTAGCGTGTGGTTAGTGTGTAGTTAGTGTGTAGTTAGGGTGT